GGGGGATTTATTTTCTTTATCTCACTTCTTCTGCATGTGAGAAGAGATCAGTTGACAATCTGAGATTTGACTGGCTCCCAAATAAATCCTTGACTTTGAAAGGAAAAAAAAAATCCATTCACTCAAAAATGAACCAAACTAATTGGTAATTCTTGGAGACAATGGCTTCCAAATGCAAGCTGCAAATTGTTTGCCTGGGCGAATTAGCATGTTTTCAGTTTCTTTCTGAAGAAAAGCAGCAAGTGTTGATGGAACAAAATTTGAATCTGTTTGCATACCTTGAAAATATGCAAATATATGCCAATGTACAAGCTATATGGTGCTCCTCAATTGAAACCCGTACATTCACAAATTAACTGCATTCTTGCTTTAGGTATGGCCTGCAAAATTAGAAAGAAGCATGAGTGTCCACAGGGAGGTCAAGATAGTCAGTATGGCAGTCACAGCTGTGGGACTGATGCTTATAAAAGAGGTGGGGTTTCAACTGTGTCATTATGGACAACATTTTGACTTTTTTCACATCTCCCGCTTCTTGACGACATTCTTGAGAAGTAACCAGGTTCATTAGCTTGACATTTATTACCAGCCAAGACTGAAATTAAGAGAAAAATTCCTTTCCATTCTTTTATCCTCATAATGCAGCCCAGTGAAACGCACGCATCCACATTTGAACCCTGCTTTGTTGTCTTAGCCTCAGCTGCTGAATAGCATAATACATCCTCGCCTTGTTCTTTTTAGTACAAGGTCTGGAGCAACATTCCAACAATCTGTATGCTCCTTCCAATCCAATGACAATTGAAATGAGACCAAACATACCTTTCTCAAAGCTGGCATCTTCCAGATGGGTTGGGAGCACAATTCCCAGAACAACAAGTTGGCATGGCCATTTAAAGAAAAATCAGCCAAAAATACACATTCTAATGAATCACTTATCAGTCCAGCTAGATAGTACCTTAGATTAATTCTGCCTTGCTTTACAATTTTAATTGATACCATTTCTTATTCTCTAGCCAGTCTTCTCCATGTTCCATCTTGGGAACTGCTCATGAGTTCTAATATTTTTCTTTGCATATTCTAAATTCTCCTTTCTTCTTCCTTGCCTAGCTGTTGGCTATCTTTGGAAGGAGGTCTACTCTATGCCTTCGTGGGACCGGCAGCTTCTGTGGTTTTGGGATATGACCCCCCCCCTTCTGAATATTTTCCCTCTCCTATCTGTGCCTTCCTCATGCCTGCAGAAGCGTAAAAACCCATGCTATAAGAACTTTGCCTTACCCTCAAGATGAAATAAGCCCCAGTGGAATGCAGAAGTACTTAAACTAGGGTCAATTTTAAAATGCTGGATTAATTAAGAACGGGAATGCCATACTCATGGGTAAATTTGAAGAAAGGCTTCCCTTTGTTTTTAAGTGGGGTGGGTTAAGAACATCTGAATTCACACAGCAGTAATGAAACCTTTTTTGAGGTTGGAGATGTGGGAGTTGATGAAGTATAGTATTGTCCATAGATACTCACAAATAAAAATGTGGCCCTCATCATCATAGGTATTGATGAGGGACACATTTTTATTTATGGGTATCTATGGACAAATTTAGAACAGCATGACTGATGCATAAATGCTTTGGGGTGATCGAGGGACTTGACATTACACTGATCCTTCCTCTCCCAGGAAATGAATTGTACCATATCTCAAGCTTGATGCCAAGGACCAGGAAGGGGGCATTTAAAAAAAAAAAAAAGATGGTTTGAAGGAGCCATTGACATCACTGAGTCCAACCTTGACTTTCAGGAATCCAAATTTAAGTATCCAAGACTAAAAAGAGTCAGAGTGGTTAGTCTTGGAATGGGAGACCACCAAAGAATTCCAAGGCTACAGGCTAGACTGGGAAATCAAAACAACATCCCAGAAGAAGACAATAAATAGCAAAACAGTTCTACATTGATTCCAAGAAAACCACAGGGACGTGTTCCTAAAGTTCCCAGGAGCCCAGCTGTGCTCCTGTAGCAACTCCGGGTGGACAAAACTCACTTCCTGAGACCCTGATCTCCCACTATGGGGAAGGGGTGGCAGATGGGGAAATCTGAAGGGGACTTCCCCTAGGCATATGCACCATGCATCTCATCATTTTACAGGCAGTTCTTTTAACAGAACACACACACACACACACACATTTGTCCCTTGCAGCTTTCCCTGGGTCC